GGTCAAAATGTAGGGTTATGAGAGAAAAAGGCAGGTTTTGGGAATACTGAGAATCTTGAGACACAAATAGATCAAATCAGGGTGTAGAGATGGAAGGGCTAGAGCGCTGAGGCCTTCGCTTGCAGAAAAGTAGGTCAGGGAGCCAAGCCGCACTTTGAAGCCAGCAGGGGTCTTTGAGCAGAGAAGTGCCATTATTGCTTTACAGGTCTAGGGGGAGGAGACTGCAGGAGAGAGAAACTCGGACATTAGGAGATCTGTCTAGGCGAGTGGAGGCCACCAGACCCTGACTCTGGGCACTGGGAGTGGGAGTGGCATGGAGGAAAATGGTTCTGGGAGAAGGCTGGAAATTGCCAGCATTATGAGTCTGGCAGACCTGGGTTCTAGGTTGTAAGATTCCAATGTCTGTAAGATTCCAGTGCCCTAGTTTATTTTCCAGTACAGTGGGGATGCATGACTTCAAGTATCCACACTTGAATAAGCACTTTCTAGCATGAAATACCCTTCTAAGACTTTGCCCGTATTACTTCATTTAGTTTTTCTACTTTTAGTTTTTTAGTTTAGCATTCTGTGAAATACCTGGTGAAGTGGGTACTGTGATTATTACTATTTGATAAATGAAGAAAGTGAAGTTCAAAAAAGTAGAACTTGCCTGAGGTCACATCCCCTCTAGATCAAGGAAACCAAGAATTCAGGGGAACCAAAAATCTGAGTGTTCGAAATGGCCCACACTCTTAGCCACTCTGCTTAAAATACCAGTGATAAGAGAGTGACTGTAGGGGGGAGAGAAGGGAGCAGCCCTTTGAAGAGGTGACAGCTGAGCTGAGACCTGATGTGTGAGAATGTGCCAGGCATCTTGTGAAGAACAAGGGCAGAGCCTAGCTGGGAAAGAGATTTCTAGGTCTGAGGAGAGAAAGGAGGTCAGTGTGCCTGGAGCAGAGTGAGCCAAGGAGAGTGGGGAACAAGGGAAATAGAAGGTGAGAAGGAGGTAAATGCATATCTGGCAGGGCCTTGGGGGCTGTGGCAAAGCCTGGGATTTTATTCCAAGAGGAGTGGAAAGCCACTGGGAAATTTAAGCAGTGGAGTGACATGATCTGGCAGATGATTCTAAAGAATCTGGCAGCCTTGTAGGGGGGTTGTAGATGATTTAGGTGACTTCTTCCATTGATCAGTGGAAGGGTGCTGGTGGCAAGCCCTACAGCAATGGAGAGAAGTGGACAGAGGTTGTAGGAGGGAACTGATTAGACCTGGTGGTGTCTGGCTGTGGTGAGGGACAGTAGTTGGAGATGATACCTGGGTTTTTAGTTTGAGCTGTTGGGGGATGAATAGTATTTCCTGAAAAGGGGGAAGGTTGTTGGGGCAAAGAGCAAGCAGAGAAGGGTCAAGAATGAAGTTATCTTGGACATACTTGTTCTGTTTGAAATATATATGAGAAATCCAGATGGCAATGTCTAGTAGGCAGTTGGGTATGTGAAACTAGACAGAGCTTGGGAGCAGTCTGGGCTGGAGATAGAAACGTGGGAGTCATTGGCATGTAGAAGCTTGGGATGCGTGGGAGAAGGGAGACACTCAGAGTACTGGAAAGGTTAAATGCTTTGCTATGCCATTCAGATTTCCAGAGCACAGTCCTCAAAATGGAGATAACAGCACCAAAGTCATGAATACATTCACCACCATTTGGGGTCCACTTTCCTGGGGAGGGCCTTTAATCTACACGTGACTGTTAGTTTCTACACACATGTGCTCATGTGTTTATGTGCTTAACTCAGTCCTTCCTAGTATACTATCAAATTAATTAGACCCCACCACCACTAATTAGAACATAGAGGTGGCCCAAATCCTGAGAAAGATTTCAGGCTTACCAAACAATAACATCTATTCTTTAAAATTAGTTCAGAATCCAGGAATTCAAGTACAATTTAAAAATTTGTCATTATTTTCAAGTACATAATTAACAGCTTAAGTTATATATTTCAGGTGTATTTTGTAAACTTTTAATTTAACAATAAACTTAGTTCAACTCCATATTTTACTTTCTATTGTAAATCAAGCTTTTCTGTGTATTTGGGCAAGATATGTGTGTTAATTTGCAGATGAACTAATTGTGAATTTATGCTTTAAAAATATTCAGAAATATACATTTGTTTCTCACACAAATTATTTCATTTCTTTAAGTTGCCACAACATTCCACACTCCCTTCCTGTTGCTAAGGCCTGTGGAATGTCCCAGTGCAGAAAAAGGATATAGAACACTTTCTTTCCCCTGAAGAAGACATTGAAATTATTTTATATCTTCTAGCTTACTTCCAAATATGGGTATCTGAAAGTAAAGAATTTAGAAAGCTAAAATTAAAGTTACTTTAGAATGTCTTAACAGGAGCTTGATTTTGTAGGATAGCATCAATTGGATTTAAATATGCTGTAGTTCTTTCTGTGTGTGTATGTACATATGTGTATGTGCATATATATGTGTGAATGTCTGTGTGTGCACGTGTTTTTAGGGAGATGCAATGCACTGATGGGAGATTAAGAACTGAGGTTACAGGTCATACAAACTGTGTCCTCATGCTACTTTCTTGCTTGTGGTATTAGACAAGTTCATTTCTCCATAAATTAGGGTTATTACTGGAAATAGGATGAACCATATAAAAAGTGCTTAGCATAAGCATAGAGTAGGGTGTTAAGATGTGTGTCACCTGTTTATGATTGTTATCAATACTGTCATTGTCAGTTGGCAATATATCTTAAGTTATTGAGGAAATTGAAGTTTTTACTGAAGTATAGATTCCTGGTGCCTTACAGAATGATCTCTGCCCTTTTAGTTATGTTAGTCATAGGTCTCACAAAAGGATCAAAAGAACCAGGGCAAGAAAGAATAATTTTCTACATGCATATTACATGGCAGATTGAATCCTTATGACTTGAAAGAATCAGCACAGTGTTTTATTTTTTAAATGCTTTAACTTTAAAGGGACAGAGAGATAGTGCACAAAAGTGTCTGGTATCTAGCAAAGTGATACATTTTAAACATTGCTTGATATTGAGTACTGTGAGAAACCACAGAAATCACATCACGCAGCTCTAAAACTGAACTAAGACCATTTATTTAATGCTATTTTAACTGCTGTTTAATAAAATTAATTGAGTTGATTGCATTAATGAAATTGTTGATTTGGTACCTATTTCATGATTTCAGTTGTAAGTTATGAATGTTACAGCATTTCTGCAGTACAGACTTTACAGAGGCCTTTAGCACAGGGGTATATGGAATTTGTGCTAAACTGCTTCAAATTTTAGAGTGAAATGTTGTGTCAGTAAACTGTAAGCATGAAAAATCACTTATTACATGTATATCACCGTGTGGCTATAACCTTTCCCCTTCTCCTCATGTACTATATTTAACTCAATATGGGCATGCTTTCAAGAAAAATAGAATATTGTTTGGCTCTTAGTTTTTATTAAGTAAGCATAGTTACAGAAGTTAGCAGTCTGCTGGAATCTTACATTATCTAATCAGTTTGTGCGAAGATGTTCAGCCCAGACATTCCAGTTTATGGAAGTTGAAATCTGGAAGGAATGTCTAGAAATCATTATTCCCCTAGTCTATAAGAGGTACCAAATCCAGGCCACATCATGAGTCAGAATCAACTCCTAGCTATTAACCTTAGACAAAGTACTTCACCTGTCAATGAGTCAGTTTCCTCTTCTTGAGTGAGGGGGTGGAATGGTATCTGTCAAGGATATTGTGAAGATGAAATGAGGTAATAGCATAGACTACTGGATGCTGCAATTGCGTCCCAAAATCATGTTGGGCCTTAGTGTGTGTCGAAGTTACAGCTAGCTAGCTGTGCAGTTCAGTGTACTCAAAACTGTTTAAGAAAATTTGAGTTATAGCCATGTGTGGATATTAGATTAGCACTTTGATAATTTAGAGATTACCATCACCTGACAGCTTTTTAGGGCATTTTCTCCTCCCTTTTCAAAACCACCAAAATCACTCAAGCTGGAGAAAGTGTGAGATTAAATCTGTTGGAAAGAAGGCAGATGCTAATCACCTTTTTCATTCCCTGCCCCCCTTAAATGTATTTGATCTACTAAAACTTTTGCTTATCTGAAATTTTCTGACTCTCTGTTCATTGCAGATATTCTAAATAGTGCGTGTAGCATAAAACACTTGCTTTAAGTTATTAATTTTGAAATATTTGAGAAGTCTGTTCTACATCTGATCTTTTAGCTCTGTTCTCTAGATTGTTGTTATAATTGTTCCTTTTTAATTAACCATATTTATCAAGTGTTAAGTTACTTTTAGTTCCCATGTATATGTAGATATTTTAGTTTCACTTTTGCATTTTAATTAAGTTGACTTCTTACTGCTGGAAAAGAGACACCAATTCATATTCTACCTTATTTTGGTAACTAAACTAAGACTAATGTATGAAATGCTGTACTTGTACTGAAGTGACCTGAAAAAGAAAGTATAAAAATAATTTTCTTTGTATTACATGCTGGCAAAACCAGACATTTTACTCTTCAGTGAAACCTCTGCTCACTTTATAAATGTTCCATAGAACTCAGGGACCAGATGTCTAGAATAGAATGCATAGTTAAACAAATAAGACCATCAAATGGTACAGCTTTATGAATTAAAAAGCATTTTAGAGGGTTGCAGATTCTTCCCCATAAGTCTTGGTAGAGTTCATCTATTGTTACTTTATTTTGTACATGTATTCATTATTTGCATTTTAATAGATTTGTCTATTTCACCTCCTAATAATGATTTTTGGTCTACTTTATTTTACTTCTTTGTAAAATTTTTCCATAAGCCTGATTTGATTATTCTCTCAATAGTTGTGGTGTGCCACATCAGTTCCTTTTAAAATGGAATGATAATTGTCCTGGTGCACTTAATAATGAGGCAACTCCTATAAAAAGTATTGTCCCCCAAGTGGTTTTGTATCAGTCAGAATCAGATAAGTGAGTGATATTCTGTTTCTTTGTTGCAGACATGCCAATATTTGGCTTTTGTCCAGCCCACGATGATTTCTACTTGGTGGTATGTAACGACTGTAATCAGGTTGTCAAACCGCAGGCATTTCAATCACATTATGGTAAGTGCTTAACCATTAAAAAAATCATTATTAGAAGGTAAAAGGTAAAGCAGGATTAAACTGAAGGATAGTGATGGCATGGTAGGGCATAATATCTCTCCTCCATCACGAAGTAGGCTTTCTAATTCAGCCAATGGGTTAACACCTATCAGATGTTGAGTATTTTTTGATTTTTATTGAAAGTGATGTTTGGGCGGCGCCTGTGGTTCAGTGAGTAGGGTTCTGGCCCCATATACCAAGAGTGGTGGATTCATACCCGGCCCTGGCCAAACCACAACAAAAAAATAGCTGGGCATTATGGCAAGTGCCTGTAGTCCCAGCTAAACGCAGGAGTTGGAAGTTGCTATGAGCCGTGTGACGCCACGGCACTCTACCAAGGGCAATAAAGTGAGACTCTATCTCTTAAAAAAAAAAAAAAAGTGATGTTCATTTTCTGGTTTTTATTGAATTAGACAGAGAAAATGTAATTTATAAATTTTACTTAGAATATTTCATCAGTATAGTTATAGGTTTGTTTCCTTTTGGAGTCCCTGGTTATGAATATAATGGATTTTAAAATTTACATATACAAGGCTGAGCATGGTGGCTCATGCCTGTTATCCCAGCACTTTGGGAGGTCAAGACAAGAAGATTGCTTGAGGTCAAGAGTTGGAAAACAGCCCATGCAACATGGTAAGACCTTATCTGTACAAAATAGAAGTAAAATTAGTTGGGCATAGTGGTACATATCTGTAGTCCCACCTGCTGGGGAAGCTGAGGCAGGAGGTTGCATGAGTCCAGGGGGAGCTGTATACCACTGTACTCCAACCTGGGTGATACAGCAAGACCCTGTCTCTAAAAAAGGTTGGGCGTGGTGGCTCACGTCTGTAATCCTAGTACTCTGGGAGGCTGAGGTGGGTGGATTGCCTAAGCTCACAAGTTCAAGACTAGCCTAAGCAAGAGCAAGACCCCCATCTCTAAAAATAGCCAGGCATTGTGGTGGCAGGTGCCTGTAGTGCCAGCTACTTGGTAGGCTGAGATAAGAGAATCAGTTGAACCCAAGAGTTTGAGGTTATTGTGTGCTGTGACACCACAGCACTCAACCCCAGGGTGACTGGGTGAGGCTCTGTCTCTCCCTCAAGTTAATTAATTAATTAAAAATAAAAATAGAATTATATGTACACTCATAATATAGCCATGTAGCCTTTTTTTTTTTTTTTTTTTTTGACAAGGCTGGGTTTGAACCTGCCGCCTCCAACATACGGGGCCAGCGCCCTACTCCTTTGAGCCATAGGCACCACCCAACTTTTTATTTATTTATTTATTTTAAAGGAAAAGTGATTTTGAAACTCTTTAGTAGTTCTAAATCTTGGGTGTTAATCATCAAAGAGTACAGATAAACTTGTTTGTCATTCTCATAATGCCATCTAAAGTGTTTAACATAATATTCTGATTTATAAAACTCTGTTTTGTGCCTAGTTTGCTTCAGTAGCAAATCAGAAGTAGATGAACGCCCACATTGTTTCAGGCACTGAGTGAGATTTCTACCTCCAGAGTTTGTAATCTGATTGGAAAGACAGGCAAAATAACTAGATACATTTTTTATGTAACTGCAAGTTGTTTAGTTGTTTCCTCCTTGCTCTTACTACTATAAATGCAAGCATGAAACAAAGTAACAACAAGGTTCTCCTGTACATAGAGTGTTTAAAGACACTTCTCAGGAGTTGTCACTGGGCCCCAAGTGATGAGAAGGACCAGCTCAGGCAGTGATCTGGAATAAGAGCATTCAGTGCAGAGGGCATAGCCAACACACAGACCTGGAGAAGGCCAGTGTGGCTAGTGACGGGAGGCAGAAACTAGAGGAATATAGCATTATAGGGAAGACCTGATCATTCACAGGCCAGGGTAAGAAACAGTTTGGTGGCATTGAAAGATTATGTAAGAAAATAAAACTGTTCCATCTCACTGGTTGATTTGCTGAGAACAGATTGTTGAAAAGAGTAGAAGGAGGGAAAATAGTTCAGAATCAAGAGGTGGTGCTGGACTGAGAGTGAGGTGGTACAGTAGAGCTAGGGAGTCTGCAGAGCTTTGTGATACTTTTTAAAGTTAGAACTTTCAGGGCTTGCTTTTGGGAATGCTGCTGTTTTAAGAGTTACACCATTATAATCACCCCAACATTTTTTTCTCTCAAGGAATAAATCTTTTATTTAAGCATGAAAAGGTTTTTTTTGAACTCCTGCTTCTGGATGAGGCCTGGGGTAGGCACCAGAGTGAGTACAAAAAATCTTGCTGCTTAAGACCCTCAGAGGTTAGCATTAGAAAAAGCAATTAGTCAACAACTAAGTATTTTGTAGTGAAATTTTTGAAGCCTTACTAGACTGGATTTAAATTTAAGCACGTAAAAACCATAGGTTAGTTCTTTGCCTTGAGCAAGTTATCCAACTTTGGCTTTCTTTGTTATAGTAGAGACGATAATGTCATCCTTATGTGTTCCGTGTGGGGATTTAGTTAAATAACATGGGTAAAGCTCCTAATACAATACTTAGCACGTAATAGGCGTGAGTGAGAGATACAGGTATAGCTATAGATACAGGAAGGATGTGTCTAAAGTCATAAAACAGACCAGCGTCTTAAGAATAGGAGTAGAGTTCAGACCAATAGGAGTAGAGTTGGTGGCACCCATAGGTCAGTGGGTAGGGTGCCAGCCACAAAGAATGCGACCTGGGTCAGATGGACATCGATGACACCTGCAACAAAGAAAATAGCAGGGCATTGTGGCAGGTGCCTGTAGTCCCTGCTACTCGGGAGGCTGAGGCAAAAGACTTGTTTAAGCCCAAGAGTTTGAGGTTGCTGTGAGCTGTGATGCCACAGCACTCAACCGAGGGTGACATAGCGAGACTCTGTCTCAAAAAAAAAAAAAAAGAATAGGAGTAGTGGCTGGGTAGTCACAGCTTAGTGGTTAGAGCACTGACCCCATGCACTGTAGGTGGTGGGTTCGAACCCAGCCTATGCCTGCTAAACAGACAAAAAAAAAAAAAGAAAAGGATTAGCATGATTGCGTCTTAATGAATAACTCAGAGAAGAGAAGAATTCTTAGAGAAAATATCCTTCATGTTAGAGTAGAACAGATTTTTTTATATTGTAATTCTTTTTTTTTTTTTTTGCAGTTTTTGGCCAGGGTCGGGTTTGAACCCACCACCTCTGGTATATGGAGCTGGCACCCTATTCCTTTGAGCCACAGGCACCACCTTATATTGTAATTTTTTAAAATTTTAGACATGGAATGCATTTCCATTGTGGAAAATATAGAAAATATTTTTGAAAGATTACCTATGATCCACTAAAATGAAAAGTGTTTTGGTGGAGATAGACAGGGCTACCACAGAGGGGTGCATAGTTTGTGCACTGAACAACCATATTTGGTGGACCCAGGCTGGCAACAGGGTTGACCTGAGGCAGGAAATTCCAGGCAGTCTGGAATGTACTGCACGCATCTTCATTGGCCAGAGCTGATGCCCATGTGAGGATGAGCACAGTGCAAAGGCAGGCTGGGACTAGCTCACAGGGCCTCATTGTCCATCAGAGTCCCTTTCCCATGATGTATTGGTGGGGACCAGTTTCAGATATTTTAGAACCAAAGTAGTGTGACCTAGTCGTGCTCCAGAGAATTGATGGGTAGAGTGGATTAGGAGGAGGTTTGAGAGGAACCACTTAAAAGTGTTACTCTCCCAGGACTTCCTTCAGCATAAAGAAGCCCTCTTGGTCCCCTCTTCGAGGAATAGTTCATTAGGTGGTAACAACACACTTTTATGGAGTTGGTTTTTTTTTGTTTTTTTTTTTTTTAATCTTCCTTCTGTTTTCCTCCTGGTGTGTGAGTGGAGGAAAGTTTCTTTTATATTTCTGCCTTTTCTCTCTACCAGTCCCTAGCACAGTATCTCCTACAAAGATACTTTTTAATGACAAAGAGAAAGTGATAGCTTTAAACTTGTAAATGGGAAAGTATGTATGTAAGATTCAGAGCTTCTGTGGCAAGGCAGGAGATGTGACTCAACAAAGGCACTGACTGGGTGGAGGACTGTTCCTCTGTTGGCAAGGGAGTCTGGCAGAAAGATGAGGGCCAAATGCTCAGAGAGGAATTCTGTTGGGAAATATAGGAGCGCCCTCTTTGAGGCAGGAGTGGGGGAGAAGGCTGGTAGAATCGACAAGAGGTTTAGAGGGATGGGGGAATTGGCAGAGTAACTGCATAAATGGAGGAAGGGCCCTGCAGTGGCCTTCAAGTGACACACCACTCACTTCAAGGGACAAGATGTGGACAGGCTCTCCAGGACCAAGAATCTTTCCCAATGCTAACACTGCCTCTTCTATCTTTTGGAGATAGGGGTTGTGACAGAAAAGAGTGTTTTTGGAAGTCTCTCCTTTGTTGTTGAAATTCTAGGAGGCCAATTCTTGCATTCTTATTTTTCATGGTTAAAAACAACAAACATTTTCAAATTCAGAATCTTTCCTAGTGACCTTTGTAGCTGTTTATTGCATTTATTAGGAAAAAAACATACCTGGCAAAAAAAGGATTGTATTTTCTTATCTTTCAATGAAATTGGTGAAAAATGTGGGGGCAGTCTCCTGTGAATTAATGAATTGCTGATATTCTCTGTAACTTCTGTGAACAAATGAGCAGTTTGCTACAGAATCCAGCAGGCAGTTCCTTTAAAACCACTGCTGCCAGGTCAGGAAAGTTGCCACAGTGGCAGCAAGGCATGTAAGTCAGTTAATGTTGGTAAAATTATTCTGAATAAGATGCCCCATACTTATTATTCAGAGCAGAAAGAGGCCCTATACTTTTTCACTAGCTCAGCTGCCTTTTGGAGAGTTAATGAGTAACCAGGATTTCCATTGGAGCAGTGATAGTGAGTGTTTCTACTGTTATTTTGGCATTTCCAGTTTTTCATAGTCTGATTGCTTTCATAGTATAGATTGTTTGCTTTCTTGGAACTGTGTAGTAATACCATACTTTCTTGATGAAG